CATCCATCTTTTCTTAGCTCTGCCCTGGCTCACTAGGGCACTCTCACTGTCCTGCCCTCTAGGCCTTTACACAGGCTGCTCTCCCTGCTTGAAAGGCACGACGCTCCTCCCGGCTTTATTCTTTGCCTGATAAATTGCTTTTTGCACTCTACTAGCCTCTAGGAAGCTCTCTCTGAGCATCATCCCATCCTCTTTCTCTTTCCATCCCAACTCCTTCTGCACTGCAGAGGTCCTTTCGAACAAAGGCAAGAGAGTCCAGTCTGCCTACTCCGTCCACACTCCCAACAATTAGCTGCCTAGCCACCCTTCTGACTGAGGGGTGTGTCACTGGCCCTGGGGTCTGCCCCAGGAGGTCAGATGCAGGCATGAGGCCATGTGGTCCCTGAAGTGGACTTGGTGGTTTGGGGAAGGAATTCCGGAATCTGGTATCCAGAGCTAGTCTAGAAGGGAGTGGTAGGCATGGCCCCAGGCCCCATGGATTTCTGACCCCAAAGGGAGGGGGATGTCTCTGCAGATGGGTGCATCTAAGAGTGGTACTGAGTCTCTCAGTGCCACCTGCAGGTGACATTTGTTATATTTTATTTTATTTTATTTTTAAATGAAAGTTTTAGTGTGTGTGTGTTTTTTTAAATACATTTTTATTAATTTCAGAGAGGAAGGAAGAGGGAGGGAGAGAGAGATAGAAACATCAGTGATGAGAGAGAATCACTGATCGGCTGACTCCTGCACGCTCCCCACTGGGGATCGAGCCCTCAACCTGGGCATGTGCCCTTGACCGGAATCGAACCTGGGACCCTTCAGTCCACAGGTCGACGCTCTATCCACGGAGCCAAACTGGGCAGGGCTGTTATGTTTTATAAGGAAGTGAAGTGGTACCTCACTTGGCCACGTGTGAGAGTGGGTGTTTCGGAGGAAAACGCGTCTTCCAGTTTTCGTAGTTGGGCCCTTTTCTCCTTTCTGTACTGCTGTTCACCAAGGCCAAGGGTTTGGTCTATAGAAGGGTCACGTTCATTTACTCCTCCCCTCCAGCCGCACCCTCACTGCTCAGAGGCCGCCACCAGTCCCTGCGCTCATCTTAGTTCTATGGGGCAGGGGCTGGGGACGGCGTGGCTGGGTAGGTGAGCCCACCTCCAGAGGAGACCCACCGTGGGCAGGCCTGTGTGTGTGTGTGTGTGTGTGTGTGTGTGTGTGTTGGGGGTTGTGGGGGGGAGGGTTGAGGTGGGGACTGACTGGCCTGTTTCCCCTACAAAGGGGTTTTAATTGTTAAAGGACAATCCGAACTTGGAGAAGGATCAAACCTCGGAAGCCAACAGCAGGGGATTCTGGTGAACAGCCCCCCAAATACACCTTGAACAGCGGAGGTTTCCCAAGGCCCAGCCCTGTTCCCTCTCTGGGCTTGGAGCCGGCGGCAGATGAGGGGATTACAAAGGAGGCCAAGACACAGTTTCCTTTAAAATATTTTCATTTATTAGTCTTTTTTTGAAGCAGTTAATTCTCTTTTCTTATTTTAAAAAATGTGTGTTTCATCCAGAGTTATACCAAAGTGATTAAAATGAATTTTCTTCTGGGGATATAGCTCCCCAGATCAGAAAAAAAATTTTTTTCAATTAATCACAAAAATAAAATCAAGAGAAAACATCAACAATCAAAAATAATCCCCAAATATCCAGGACAAAAAATAAAATATTTATTGATCTATCACAGCGAGACACAAAGAGATGGGCGGGGCAGGGGTGGGAGATGCTGTGAAGTACAGTGGCTCGAGGGAGGGATGGGGGATACAGTACTGCGTGGGGGGACCCAGGTTAGGGAGGAGATTCCTGCCGCCCCAGCTGGCACCGCCCCTCACACCCTGGGCCCCTTTGTAGGGGTGTGTGTGTTGGGGCAAAGGCAGGGCACATGCTGCCATGACAGGTTAACCAGGTTGGTGGTTGGGGTGCCCAGCCAGCTAGTGGTGCCAGGCGGACAACTGAGGGCAAGGATGGATGGATGGATGGATGGATGGACAGATGGGCGGATGAATTCCACAAGAGAAAGAGGGCTATTCCCATTGGGGTTCTTCTGATCTGAGGTGCCCCAGATATGGGGAACAGCGCAAAGGTGGAGGAAAAGGGGGCCAACGCGGCCAAGAGATGGTG